CTCCGCCGATCTGCAAGCCGAGGTCCCGAGGGCGTGCGGACCGCCCGGAGCAGCCACGACCCCCGTCGCGCAGCTGCAGCCGAGCCCCGCGGGACTCGAGCCCCGCGGACGCCCAGGCCGCCGGGGGCGGTCGGCAAGGAGGAGGCCGAGGAGCCGGGGCGAGAGCCCGGGCGCCCGGCATCCTCGGCGGAGAGGTCGCGGGCCTTTGGCCAGTGCCTTTTAGGAGCCTTAAGCCCGCTTTGGGAGCTCCGGGAGCGTGATGGGAACCCTCCTCCCTGGCCCTTTCCTGGGACAGGCTGAGTGGGGAGTGTTGACTAGGCAGGGGGGAATCCTTCGCCTAGAAGAGTAAAAACGGTTTCAGACTTCAGGTCGAGATGGCATTTCTTTCTGTCTCAGAACAGCTGAGGACATCTGGAGCCTGTCCAAGAAAGCCCGCGCACAGGATGGAGACCCCCTTTTGAACTGCAGAGGGGGACCGAAAACTCCTGGGGAGCGCACACGGCCCTTCCGCCCACCCCGTGTCCTGACTTAGTCAGGAGTCTAACCCGGTCTTTTCCCCGATAACCTACTCTGTTCCCCGCCCCCCACCCACCCCGTGTCCCCTGTTACATATTCTAGGGTGACGCTATCCTTGTCGCTTCAGCCTGCAGAAGCAGCGGAACTATCGCTCTAAGCTGCTCTGCCTCGGAGAAGCGAAGGGAAAGCAGGGGTTTTTCCCAAAACTGTTGGGCGGGGAAGAAAGACTGCTCTGAATTACTGGGCAGTATCGTCTAGGGAGGGCTTGCAGCGGATGTGAACGCCCTCCCCATGGGCTCCTCTATCTTTCGGAAATGAACCTGGGTGGTTGGGAACCATTCAAGAGATGTTTGTCTTCTAGACAGACAACCCCACTGGTAGGTTTCAATACTCTGTAGAGAGCTGGTGTGATTTAGAGATTTGAGTTGATTAAGGGAGCCTGACCTTTATCAAGCCTGGTTTCTGGCTGATGCTCCACAGATTTTACCAAGGTTGGGTGAAATAGCGCCCTCTCACAGACCCTCGCTCATCTCGGCTCCCTTTTACCATTGTTGTTAGCTGCTTAGCTAACTAGCTTTAGCTAACGTTTGCTGCTTAGTTTGGATGGGTGTCACCCCTTCTCAGAAGCTGTTATCTCCCTCATTTGCTTGCTTTAAACTTCACACTTAAAAAAAAAAAGTAAGCAAAAATCAAAACTTGGCTTCCTCCAACTTAAAAAGAAATCTGGGAATTTCCACAACTTCCCTTGAACGTTTAAGAATCTGTAAATGTTAGATCTGTTTGCATGGCATGAAAAGACAAAATATCAGCACTCAGAAATGTCAATCTTTGAACCTCTAACACTTTCTGATTTATAATAAATTCTTTCCAAAAAAGACGCAGGAGCCTTAATGTAATCGTTAGAGCTGAAGGGGGAAATCTGTAAAGTAAATCACAAATGAGCCATTTAATACTTGCAAGTTGTTTAACATTAAAATGATAATATTTGCTTCCACAATGAAAAACCCAAAGGTACTTAGCCAAGTTTCAAACTACCCAGGCTTTAGAAAGTCAACCCTCCCCCAATAAAAGGTTAAAACAAAAAGCAGATTGAAAATATTAAATCACTTACACTGTAAGTAAATTCATTATATTCTCAGAACATTATAAAGACTGGCCTCAATAGACTGCTTTGATTTATGTTGCTTTTTCTACTAATTAAACAAAATTGACCCCCTCTCCCTCCCTCCTTTCTTCCCCCCCCCCCCCCCCCCCCCTGGCACCCGCCAATCTGTTCTCTGTAGCTTTCTGATGTTAATGGCAAAACATCTATCAAATATTTTTAGAATTTCCTCTCCTCCACAAAAAGAGAAAATATAGACACAGGAAAAATAAATAGTCTTTATATACTTGGAATACTGAAGCTTTCCTCATAATTTATTACTTCACCTTTTCCTTGATTTACAGTCTACTCTGCTCTTCTGGCCAAAGGAGGGAGATCTTCTCAGCAGTCTCTTCCAGAAATAATTTTTTTGTTTTGTTTTTTCAAAAAAGTAAAATTAAGTCTTAAATGAATTAAAAATTTCCTGTAAGGAGCCTTCTGTTCCCACCCAAGGTAATTATGAGAAAGCAGGTCCCTCTTCTAAAGCCGCCCTGTTTATTACTTTCAGTAGAAATTCTCCTCAAATATACCCTCAATATATACTTTTCTGAGAAGGATATTTTCTGACATCATAATCTAGTTCTCAATATAATTGAGTAACCTCTATGATAACGCTGAGGACACGTGACTGCAAATGAGATGACTCCACACTAGGAGGCTTTCTTCTTTTCTTTTCTTTTCTTTTCTTTTTTTTTTTGAGGCTTAGGAATAGAAAAAGTGCCAACAGAGGCTGAATGTTTGCTTTAGGCCTTGCTATCACATAAATGCACCTTAGCAAAGGAGGATTTGAAGACCTGCGTTTAATCTGAAGTCTTGCCATGTGAAGACAGATTAGCATTGTGAGATCTACTCCTACACGAATGCCTAACCCATTAGCAAGCCCCAGACTTCCATCTTCCCATCCCCAATGACAGAATTATATCCCAATTTTAAAAAGAGATTTTCTAAATTTCTAAGTGCACTTTTACTCTTAAATTCATGTTTATATAACCAGTTGATGTCTATCTCCAGGGATATCTCCTCTTGCAATTTAGGGGAAAAAAAAAAACCCCAAACCCTAGCATTTGTTTAGCTTCCTCATCTTTCTCCCTTTTCCCCTCCTTGTCTCAAACAACAAGCAAGCAAGCATACAAATGAAAAAAAAAACACCTACAGCTCTTTAAACAGTGCACCTGGGCTCAGAAATTCCCTTATCTTATTACAAAGAAACATCCAAATTTAACATTTGCCAAAATCTGTAGGTCCAAGCTATATCTCTAAAATCCTATGAGACCAAACAACAAAACTCATCCCTTCTCTTCTCTGATCTTTTTCTTTGTTTGCATAAAGAAGTTTGCATAATTAGTTCATGTAAGGTTATCGTTTGATTGCATTAGAACATGGTTCAAATCACTTTGAACCATTGCCTGAATTGGGACTTGAGAGCTGACCTCGAGGTAGCAAAAAAAAGGAAGTAATGCCTTTAAATCCCACATAGGGGCAGGAAAGAGGGGGTTTCATTATTAAATCTCTTTATAGTTAGATGAGGATAGGACTCAAACTGGGGCTGTCTTTTCTAGGAACAGGACTGGCTGCTGACCTGTGGAGGGGCTGCCTCAGGGAGAAGCACCTAGATACCATCAAGCTGATGGGATTCTTTTATTGGCAAAGTGGGTCTCATACCCTCCTGGCCCTCCCCTACTTTCTGGGCAATGTTCAGCTTTTCCCAAACAGGACCAGAAAGCCCACGGGTGAGGCAGTTTTCCTGGAGGGCCCAAGCCAATGTGAGATGAGAAGGTCTTTAAGAAAGCGGGGTCTCCAACAAGTTCTCCAAGCAGTTCGTCAAGCAGTGGTGCAACCTTCCAAACCTGTGAACATCAAAACATGACTGAGAAGGAGTCTTCTGGCCAGGGATGGAGCCCCTGTGTGTGTGTGTGTGTGTGTGT